TATCTCAAAAATATAATTATAAGGGTTTGTCATATAAACTCAACCATACTGAACTTATGCACTGTATGTAATCTCCAAGGTCATGAAACTCTATTCCATGCACTGGTCTTTTTATAACAAGATTAAAATTAATCTGTTTAGAGAAAGTTTTTTGAAGAACAACTAGTTAATCATACACCTTTGCAGGGATGAGATAGTTCCTTTCCCACTAATGAATAATATTTTTCTGCCTTCTTATTGGTTTTCGGGAAAATGTGTTATAAATCAATGTTTCTAAAATTAACTTTAGGTTTAGGGATTTTGTATATAGAGAATAAATGTATTTATTTATAAACAACAAATAAATAATATTAATAAAATATAAAACACATGTAATATATTAAAGCTTTGAATTTCATTTATTTAGTTATAAATTCTTTAAGCCAATATTAGTATTTTGTTTCCGAGCCCGACCCTGCACTACGTTTATTTACAAACTCTTATTATACAATAGGACCGGCAGAGGTAGCAGTCGAAAAATATCACAGATTTGTGAGCATGGAAATTTTAAAGTTACTAGACGATAAAGGAATAAGAGCCCTTACAAAGTTTAGCGAGCAGAGTTCTTAGATGACTATCAAACAATGAACCATGTGTTTAAAATATTTCGGCATGGTCGCATATTTAAGAAGTTGGTTCAATTCTAGGAATAGCATCGGAACTAGACAGGCATTATTTGGTCTTAATTTACTCAAATGAATTTGAAAAAGTGTTTGAATGAAATTTGAAAGCCGACAGAAATAGGTGGCAAAGATATTTTATTGATTGCCAATTTGTTCTGAAAGCTGAAATACAAGTGAATCGTCATTCTTTTCAACTTTTATTTTATTCCGTGAAGCTCTTGACGGTGCACAGTAAAGAAATCTACATAATGTCCATTATTAATACGAGCTTCGCCGACGCTAAGAGTAATTGTAATGAACAGTGAAGAAGATCTATAAAATCTAACGAATAAGAACTTCTACACCTGCACTCAATTTGGCTAAAAATTTTCAACAACACCAAATATATGGTCATCCTTAAGGGAGATGATATTAGTATGGTGATGGTGTAAATGGGCAGCAAAATCAGTCATCAATAGGATCCGGGCATCGAGATCAAAACGAGGGAAAGCCAGCCGTTTTTATAAAAATGAGAAAAGTGCTGACCAGACACGAAATTTAACCTTAAAAATGAAAATTGTACGCTGCTGTGTATCTCCATTTCTCTTGTATGGCGTCGAGGCATAAATACTTACTGAAGTAATGTTGAACTGAGGTGGCTTTTACTTGATGAAAATCCATTTATCAAAATAAATAAGAACTAAAAGTTCAGATTTTCACGAAATTATATATTATGACATGACAATTGTTACGACAACACCGCGTCTTTATCAAATGTAATATCTACAAACTACCTGCTACTATATATACCGAAAAATGACCATAAAACCTTAATTAATGTTGTTGCGAGAATTTAAGTTCAGTAAAGAAGAGGTATTTAAATCTAATTGATCGTTAAGCAATACATTTGAATGTCTCATTTTGTTAATCTCCATGGCTTTCAATAAATTTAATTTTCCACTTTTTGTGGCTGTGTGTAATATATCAAAATTGTCGTCAAAAATGTGTTTTTCTGTGATTAAGTGTGTAGCATAATTAGAATCTAGACTATTATTTTTAAGCGCTCTTATATGTTCGTTAATTCGTTTCTGGAAGGATCTACCTGTTTGTCCAATATAAATTTTAGGACAAGATCCACATTTTAACCTGTAGACACCTGATTTTTGAGATTTTAGACATTTCGATTTATTGTTTTTTAAATATTTTCCTATTGTGTTGTTAGTTCTGAAAGCAATTTTTCCAACTGAGTTATATCAAAGACAAGTCAAGGATGTAATTACTAACTCCACACTATTTAGTGACAAACGACGAAGACGAAGAAAATTAGAGTATTTTGGTTATATTATAAGGCACCCGGATAAATATGAAATGCTGCACTTTATTATATATAGGTAAACGTGACAGAAAAACATCGTGCAGGGAGCAGAACATCGTAGGTAAAGTATTTGAGGCATTGGTGTGGGAGGTGTACAGTTAAACTTTTCCAGGCGACTGTCGACAATCAATTATGGTCAACATTGTAGGCTAGATCGTTGGTTATCATGTGGCTACTGGAAGAAGAAGCAGATACGTGTGTCCAAGCCCAATATAGTGGATCTGTTAGTATTTGTTTTATTTTGTGCTTTTATTTGAAAATGAATTCAATTGATTGTAAGTCAAGTCCAACGGCTTCAAAAATTCGGAATAAAATTTTGATTTTCGCATTTTCAATGAGAAAGACACGTTTTGTCTCCGATAAAATGGAAATATATATTTATTTATTTGCATGCATTTTTCAGATGTTTGGTATATGCAGGCGAAAGGAAACGGAGAGGAGCGCTCACTGTTATTCTATTATTTATTGCATTTAATAGAAATCTGATATTTAGAACAAATGATATATCGCGTCCGTGCAAAATGAATAACCAATTTTGTTTACTCTATCAATAAGACCACCAAATAATAACAAAATTAGTACCAACTCAGTGAATAGAATAATTATTACTGGTTTATTTATAAAAAGGATTAAATATGTACGTATTTATTACTGCGTTTGGGTCAATTAATAACCTTTAATAATATAGATTATTTTCGTTTAATTGAGCAAACATGAGCGTAAATGAAACGCGGAATAATTAGATAATCGAAAATCGTGCTCTGCTTTAATTATCTCCGCCTAATGAACAGTCATACACGCAACTATTTTATTTTGATTAATGTACATAAGAGCAATTTGATTGGGGCCCACGGAGTCGGACCGCTTCTGTTTGTTTATCTTTACATTGAATTAAAGAAGATTGTTCCCCAATTTAGAGTGTAATAACGAAAATAATAAGCCCTTATAATGCTAGAATTGATTATTGTAACTCATGGCTTATGAGATTGCACATTATGCCATTGTCCTGTCTATTGATAAGATCGTGATATTATTTCTAAAATTTCGGGAAATCGTAATTATCACTCTATTGTGATTATTATTATAATTATTCAAACGAACGTATTTTCAGCACAAAAGCGGAAAAAATATTTTTTGGAGCCCGACCTAAAATGATCCTTAATCGAGAAAAGAAATATCATTAAACTAATGGAAATATCGGATTCCGTGTCGTGTCAGATGTTCGTGTCAAATTTGGTGGTGCAAGGGAGCTAAATTAAACGAGGAGTAGAGTGCATTAAATAGTTGCTACAAGATAGAAAGGGCGAATTAAATTTCGGCAAATAGTTGAGTGGATTAAATTCTACTACGGGGACTAATTAAATTCGTTTAAAAATTACGTGGGGTGGATTCAATTTCATTGCAGAGATTGAATTCTACGAAGACTGTGACTGTGACCAGTTTAAATTCAGCAAGAGAATAACGGCGCAAGAAAGTTTTGGACACTTAAATATATCTATTCTTTTTCTTCCTAGCTCGTGTCGTCTTTTTTTCAATCTACGACAAAACGTATTCCAGATATTGCGCTATAACCACATTTTACTGAAATTCGCATTCCCAATTTCACTCGAAAATTAATTCATGAGGTGCTTTATGAGACAAGCAGTTTCACAATTTAAGACGCAGTTCAGCGAAAGAAAATCCTTGAAAAACGACAGATTTGTCGAACATGAAGTCAAAACAAAATTTGATTTGAAATGATATTTTCGCAAATTTTTCCTATTGTTAGGTATTTTCGCCTTGTGTATATGTAGAAATATATTTATCTACGGTTTGAGAATGGAAAGTATATTAGGCAACATGTTTTGTAAATTCCATTTTGGCATTAGCAAACAGCATCGAAGAGAGTGCTTAATAAACTAGTGACTGAAGAAGTTTATCAACTTGTTATTTTGCCAAACATCACGAATATAATATTCCGCGGTCGAATTTAAACATTCGATGACTGACGAACCCGTGACTAAAGTAGCGGAAATGTGCGTATTTGGTTACTTTATGATAGAGTATGGATGACTTATTAATAGTTCTGTAATTTGAAATAGAAAATTCTTAATTGTTATACTATAATATTCTGAGGCTATATACTGAACACATAAAAATCCAGATAATTTAAGTTCGAGTTTATATTAGAATCGGTATTATTTATTTATTTATTGTATACAAATAGGATTGATAGTATATAAAATATCATAAAAAAGCACATTGTTCTAACAATGTGTGTATACCATACCTATGTATATATATAATTAAAAGGTACTTAGGTTGTTACAAAGGTATTTTTATTAAGAATACTCTTCTTATTGTGTATAGTACCGAGGACAATTTGCTTCCAAGAGGGGACTTTACGTTATGTCTCTTTTTGTTTGTGGTTTAGTTTACAAAATATTAGTGTAGTATGATATGGTTAATAAAGATAATATAACCATGGGTTGAAACATAAAACTGTTGTCTAACGAGCAACTGCTCCAACGAAATAGATATCAACCAATACCTGCCAATGACTATAAGAGTAAGAGTCGTCTAGTTTAACGAGAGTAGTCACTATGTATCTGTGACAATACTGTGTTCGAAGTTTTACAAAGGAATTTTGAATTAATGAGGAAACATGGGTATCAAATCGTAAGTTGCTATATAGAAATAAACCAAGGTTTTTGCAGCATTCTGTAGAGTTCAGAACAGTGTTGTAGTTAATTTTGGTAGAATTTCATTAGGTAGAATACGTAGTCTATTTTTGCCGAAAACAATAAGTTGAGTTTTCTTTTCTTTAATTAAGAATCCGTGATTCTGAGAGAAGCGACTCAGAGCTTCTAGGTCTCAATTGATTTTATTAAGAGCAGCTGTAGCTTCCAGGTATTTGAGGGACAAGTAGAGTTGAGTATCATGCGCATTTTTTTATGATAAGTTTTATGACAAGCATAACATCACATACTTTCTATTGAACTTACCGTTCTATTATTTAAGTTTTTTACTCTGCAATTGAGGTAAGCGGTTTTCCCTAATAGGGCGGTTACGTTTTTGGATGCCGCCGCGTCAAAATGTGGCGCCCGGGTCGAACTTTCCATAAGGGAGTTTCCTCCTCCTCCCGAGGATTGTTGTGACGACGAAACTGTAAATAAAAGACAAAACCATTGGTTATTGGTGGTAGGTAAACGTTCCTTACATTCAAACTCAATTCGAATATATTTGCCTCCGGTTCAAGTTGTACACAGAAAATGGGAGGGAAGGGCTATTTAAATTTATTTAAAATTTATTTTAAATCGAAACGCCCAGGTAATGTCGAGCTTTCTGGCGAAAATTTATACTTTGCTCTAAATCAGTCAAATTGATTAAACGCAACGTTTCCGTACAGAAAATTGCCAGACACATTGTCTATTAATATTTTTTAACTCTGTTGGTACTTGGTATTTTGTCTGCAATATACATGTTGTTTCGGAATATTAGCAGAATATTTAGGGCAGATTCTACATCTAAAAATATGACCCAAATTCATAAGGTCCATTATTACACAGGGTGTTTTGAACATTTCCATCTTTTATGGGTTATTTGAAATTAATATAGTACGTACTTAAGATGGAAGAGGGTCAATTTAAATGGATTTTTATCGTTTATGATACTTCTAGCATATACATTGTCGGATATAAGTATTGCAACAAATCAAAAAAAATAAAAAACACAGAGTATTTTGTAAAAACAGGTGCCATAACCATATAGTTAGATAATATAGTGGCCCTACTAATAATTGTCTGAGCATGGCTCTAAATTTCACCCACTAACATGCACTTTGGGCCATTTTCTTCTAAGCATCGATTTCCACACATTAACTCATAAGTTCCTGTATTATTGGCAGAAATATAACATCTATAATCTATATGATTATAAGACATTTCTTTTTCGAGTAGGCTATGATTATATACGATGAAACGAAATTTTTGTGTAATTTGTTCCTATAATTTGACGTTCAGTTGCTTGCTGCACTTTTAATGAACCTTTAATTTTTGATATAGATAAAGCTGCTAGGTTGGCATTAGCATTAAGGCATATCAACTGGACCGCTGCCGATTGGAGAAAGGTAATATTCACAGCGTTTCAATCCATCGCAAGTATGTAATCTCCTAGAGTAAAGCATGGCAAAAGCAATGTAGTAGTGCTTTTCGTCTGGGGGTTTATGTACTGAGACGTTATGGAATACGCTATTTATTTTTCAGCAGGGCAATGATTCTAAACATACCTGCAATTATGTGTCGTTCAGGTAGAACAATGTTAGAATTTTAGACTAGCCGACCCAGTGCCTGGACTTGAACCCGAAGTTTGGACAAACCTACCATTTATTGTTTTAGAGAAATTGATCAACTTCATGCCAAGAAAATATCGCAAAGTTATATACAACAGTAGCGTACCCCTTATTGGTTATTGAACTTGAAAACAAGTTTTTCTACTTCCGTCCATAAAATATTCAATTACACACCGATCTAGCGTGAGGGAAGCGTCACTCTACCACGTCAGTTTCGTTTCCCACGGATCCGAGCCAATTCGGACATTTCCGCATTTAATTTTGACGTTTGTCAATTCTGACGACCATGTCAGGGAATGTGTTCGTGCTGTTTTGTGGAAATGTAACCAAAAACTAACGGTAGTAGAAAACGTATAGTATGCAACACGTTCGGTAAACTTTTTAAGTCACTTCTTTATTAAACATTTGCTCCGTTGTGCTCGACTCGTGTCAAATAAACTCATGAGTCAAATGCCGTTTATCGCACTTGTTGCATAATATACTATAATAGTATAATAGTTTTTAATAAACGAGTGATTTAAAAAGTTTACCGAACGTGTTGCATACTATACTTTTTCTACGACCGTTAGTTTTTGGGTACATTTTCTCAAAACAATACGCTTCCCGCACGCTAGATCGGTGGGTAATTGGCTATTTTACAGACGGGAGTAGAAAAAATCGTATTCTTGTCACTTTGACAAAAAATGTTGCAATACTTTAGACACTACCATTTTTGAACAAATTACCTTTAAACGTTTTACTGAGCATGTTGCCATGCATCCTGCCTTAGAGAATAATTTCGGTAAACTACCATGGTCTAACCTATCGAGAAAATGACACTGAAAGCATAACGCTCCATGAATTTTTCAATTATTTCCAATCATAAGATTTTTTCATTTCGTGTAATACTTATGTCCAATAAAATATGCCGAAAAAAATTAGTTGTTCGATTTTTGAGAAAATTCCATCAACTTGAGACGTCAATCTGTTTTCAAGCTACCAGGTAATTTGCAAACCTATGTGAAAGTTCTCGTGAGTTTTTTACTTTTAAAAATTCCTTTTTGTTTTAAAAAGGCTCAAATTTTTATTAGTTTTCGAGATATTACCTAAATTTGGCATTTGTCTGTAAAATAACCACCATAAGCTATGATTCCGTTCGTGGCACGAACAGACGTCCTGTTTAAGGCCATTGAAATATCTTCTAAAATGAAGTTTTTTAATGTGCATATCTTCCGGGAGGTTACTGCAATAACAAATTACAGGTTTATCGATATACCTTATGAGGTCTAGTTGTATGCTTTTCTCTTCCATTGATCTGCGGCTGGCCAGTTGGTCTAAAATCTGTTATAATTGTATGTAATCGAAAAGTTTTACAGCAAAACGCAAAATGCTAAATAGCAAAACGTGACTGATTATAACTAAGACCAGATAAGTATTTATTTTGTGCGTCATGACCTTTTTCACTCCCAATATCATTAAATTGTCTTATTAAATCGCTGCGTCCGGATATATTCTGGAAACACTTATACTGTTTGCATCGACAGTCTTTTTCGGTTTCAGAGGTCGTAACTGCTTAGCAACATCTCTAAAGCGTCCATATTTCTCACATTTTTTGAAGATTTTTCTTGATTAACACTTATACTTTCATCACTGTCATTTTCTTTAAGAAAGAAAACTAAGATAGAAAACTAAATAACGCGTCTTTATAGCCATACATCAGTAAACGTGTCAAACCAACTAATTGAACACGGTTGAGGTCATTCGAGTAGCAACAACGAATTTGAATGTTTTAGGGGCTGTATTGATGATTTCCACGATTCAGAAGGACTATGTTTGTTTTTTCCTGCAATACGTGATTCTAACCGTGAATATCTCGAAACCTGGATGTTGACTTAACGATTTGTTATAATAAAATATAGAGTGCGAAGACAATGATAATTTCGATTTTGTCTATATTTGATTATTCCCCTGTACTTTTACTTGTTGTGATGAATTTCCGAATGCCAGAAGCACTTTTTTATTGTTGTTTTTAGGCTGGAACCGTTTATCTGCGAAAGCACTGTAGATAGTCGTAGACCGTGCTCCAACTGATATACTACCCTGTAAACTTTGGTTAAACTATCAACTCCCCAGCAGGTATATTTCTTACATCCGTTCCTGTTGGTTCTCTCACTCGGAGACATCAAAATCGAAAACGAGTTTTGTCGGGCATAATCATTCCTTTATGGCGAATAATCAGTTTTCCATTCTATTATTTCAGATAACAGCACAGCGTCGAACAATAAATATTTGAATGGTCGGATTTTTCTTTTTACCGTCCTCCATCCGTTTCCACCCAATTAAAATTTATTTCTTTGTGCAGGTAACAAAAGAATACACGAACCACTATTCACGCCGTATTTGTTTCTCTCGTCGACAATATCTGCAACTCGAACGTCGTTGCATTCTCTATTTTTAGAGTGTATCAAATTTTATTCTGCAAACTACATTTTCGGTTACGAATTTCGTTGAAATTTTGATGCTCATTGTTATCAAAAAGTGGTGTCGTGAAAATGGTCTGATGTTCAACGGGGACGATTTGTTAAAGTTGATATAATTAATATTAATATAATGGACAAGTAAAATCCATAATCAGTATTCGCTATTAGGTGCAATTTACCTAACTTAAACATACATAACATAACATAACATAACAGAAAACGAAGATGTTAAAACGCAATTAAAAATACAACAAAAAAAGGAAATAAATCATTGGAAAATTAATTTCGCTTGAATTTTAAAAGATTTAGACTTAAGTTAAATATTGTTACAGTGCTCTTCATAATCTGTGACTATTCCGACTAATGCACAATTTTGTTGATCTGAATTGAAGACAATTAAATTTTGATGATGATGATACTTGTAAAAGTTGAGCTCTTCTGTCTTATCTTGTTGTATCTTTTTAAAAAGAGTCATTACCACCATTTATGTGTTGGTGTTATTTGTGAGAGATTTTTAGATGTTAGCCAACAAACGGCTTTGCGGGTATTAAAAGAAAAAAAAATAAGAAGAAAAACATCATCCGGATAAGATTACATTACCTTTGGAACTGAATGAAGATTATGCCGACCGCAGGCTACAGTTTTGTGACATTAATTAATGTTGAAGCTACGTTTTGTTTAAATGATGGTGTAAATAAACGAAATTGTAGATATTGGAGTACAAATAATCATACAAAACATCCATAAAAAATTTGGCAGGGATTTCGATACACCAAATTATTGGACCTCATCAGCCTGATACGGCAGGTTTGGTTTCAACAGGATGGATTGGTGGAAGGGGATCAATAAAATGAAATGCAAGATCTCCGGATATTACTCCGCTACATCTTTCCCTCTGGGAATATTTAAAATCAAAAGTGTTTACGGAAAACCCAGAAAGTTAAGTTGATTTAAAATGTAGCATTAGATACAACATAAGGCAAATTGATGAAAATATCCTGAGTAACGTTTTAGGAAGATTTTTATTGTGCATATTGTAAAGAAGTTTAATGATCGGCATTTTTAACACCTAATAGAATGATTTCTTTAACATGTTTTTATAGTCTGGCTCACGAAACGTGAGAAACATAGTGAACTACATGAATTATGCGTGAAATTTGACATATACTTGGAAAACGGATTTAAAAAATGGTGTTCCATTAAAAAAAAAGGAAAATGGGTTACTTTAAATACTACACCCGATTTTTGAATAAATTTGATTCACATTTTAGAAGTTCTCCATTGTGTCAATTTTTTCTTAAGGTGAGCGGTGTAATCTCTGGCCCTTGTAGATCTCACAACAAGATCACACCTTGG